CACAACCTAGAAGGTTGACACCAGTCTAGCCTCAGATAGTGAGGGCAGCCAAACTAGGGCCTCTGAAGATGATCAGAGTGGTAAGGCAAGTTCATATGCTCCATATATGGAATGAATCTTTGGAGGCTGGATTCCCAGATCTAGTGCTTTCGGTATGCAGTGTTCACAAGGAAGAGGAGCAGCAGTTGTTAGCAGCAGATTTCCAGAATATCTTTTGCCCGGTTCTGCTTTTGAAGAAGCCGCAGGGCAGAACGTGACTTATTTGCAGCTAGCCATTGCGTGAAGATATCATTGGGACCTACTTTCAGATTGGATTGTGTCGTCTTGTAGCGTGTCCTCTGTTTAACAGTGTGTGACTCTTAGGCATATCCTTAGGCCATCATCCTTAATCAGTCTCACATTTAGTTTTGTACTTTGTGGTTAAAGTAAAGGTAAAGGTTTCCCTTGCTCGAAAGCCAGTCGAATCCGACTCTAGGGTTGCAGTGCTCATCTCTGTTTCAAAGCCGAAGAGCCAGCGCTGTCCGAAGACGTTTCCGTGGTCATGTGGCCGGCATGACTAAACACCAAGGTGCACGGAATGCTGTTCCCTTCCCACCGAAGTGGTACCTATTTATCTACTTGCAATTTCTTGCTTTCGAACTGCTAGGTTGGCAGGCGCTGGAACCAGAGATGGGAGCTCACTCCATCATGCGGCACCCTGGGTCTCGAACTGCTGAACTACTGACCTTCCACAGCCTGCAGTTCAGCATCTTAACCACTTGAGCCACCGCAGCTCCATACTTTGTGGTTATATGCACTTTAATATTGGATATAAAGTTTTGCAGATTTGTAAAAACCATATTAACTTGGTGTGATTTGTGAATATTTTGAACGTGCTAATTAGTGATTAATTTCATGTACAGTTTCTGCTTTGTGGATAACTTTGCCTTTTATACAAGAAACCAGGCATGGGTTCAGTTGCCTGGCCTGCGTTTAATGATGAACTCCTCATGCAGTTATGTTTCTATGCAAATCTGTTCAAACTTATTAGGACTGCTCTGTTGTTTCCGTGCTGTGGCTCTTACATTCTTCACTTGCACCTACCATCTAAGAACATAAGAGAAGCCAGTGTTGGATCAGGCCAATGGCCCATCCAGTCCAACACTCTGTATCACACAGTGGCCAAAAATACCAGGTGCCATCAGGAGGTCCAGCAGTGGGGCCAGGACACTAGAAGCCCTCCCACTGTTGCCCCCCCCCAAGCACCAAGAATACAGTGCATCACCTGCCCCAGCACAAGAGTTCCTATCTATACCTTGTGGCTAATAGCCACTGATGGACCTCTGCTTCATATGTTTATCTAATTCCCTCTTGAAGCCGTGGATGCTTGTAGCCGCCGCCACCTCCTGTGGGAGTGAATTCTGTGTGTTAATCACTCTTTGCGTGAAGAAGTACTTCCTTTTATCTGTTCTAACCCGACGGCTCAGCAATTTCATGGAGTGCCCACGAGTTCATCTATGGGTGACTCAGGGGTTCGAGCAAAACAAGTCCATCTTACACAGAGTGTTTTGTATCTTTCAGGAGCATCTGACAGACTTGAAAGAAGAACTTGATAAGGACGAATGCAAACAGGAGCCTGAAGTTATTTATGAAACCAACTGTCACTGGGAAGGATGTGCAAAGGAGTACGACACTCAGGATCAGCTCGTCCATGTAAGTAATGTCAAAAAGACACAAGCCATAAATCTGAGGTTTCGTCCTGCCTTCCGATCAAGATACTCTGTGGCTAGAATCCACACTGTGAACCATTAAATGTGGTCACAAGGCACAACAGAAGTAAAACCTGGCAAATCAGGTCAAACTCCCAGAAGAATTTAGCTACAGGAAAGCCTTTGATGAATTATTTTGTATTGTTCTCAGAACCTAGCAGTTAAGAATGTGAAAATTCTGTTGCCTGAGATCACATCTTATACATGTGGGGGGTTTTGTACACTTGAGCATAACCAGGAAAACATGCCCTGCCAAACCGTAATGACTGATGTGATGCTCAGGGTGCAGTGAACAGCCACACCTCAGAGGAAAAGAAGAGATACCTTCACATGTTTCTGAACCCCCACCTTATGGAACGGCCTGCCTGATGAGGTTAGGAAATCTCCCATTCTTCTGGCTTTCCACAAGTTATGCAAAACTGAATTATTCAGAAGGGCTTTTTTTAACATGGGTAACAGGCTGTACTGTAACAAAATGGTTTGCAAAGATACTTTAGTAAAGTACCGTGCACTATATTACTGTGTACTGTCTTTTGGTGTAAGTATGCTCCCAGATGTCAGGTAGCCCTGTCATTGGAGTGGAATGTGGAGGGGTTCCCTCCCGTTTTTCTGTCTCAGCTCTCCCTGGCTTACCGACTGTTTGCTATCTTATGCTTGACCTTGTAGATGCTCCAGCTGCAGTTTTCTCGGCTGGGAAAGTTAACAGCTTTTGCTTTGCCTGCTTGCTTTTGCCCACGTGCGCAAGATGTATCCATTGGCTCATGCTTACCGGGGGGATGTTTGATTCTAGTATAAGTCAGAGGCCCTAGTATTGGCGGCCATTTCTGACACAAGCTGTACACATGTCTCTAGTACTGGATTTACCAATAAGTTATCTTCTTATGAAGCCCTGTGTTGCGTACCCTGGCTAAGGACCCTGACACCACTGTGTAATTTCTGCATCGTTTAACATGTCATGTTTAAATGCTTATGCTTTGTTTCAGCTCTGTTCCAGATTTCTGCTTGTTTTCAGATCCCTGCAATCCAATCCTTATTGTGTCGTTTATTGGGTGTCCCATCCTGTTGATCGTGTTTGACTTACTCTGTGACTTAGACACTGGTTCTCAGTGAGAAAGGTGGACTATAAATAATGTAAATAAAATAAAATAAACAGCAGAATATCATGGGTACCCTCCTTCTTATACCATGTCTGGACCCTGCACAAACAGCAACGCACCCGTGGTAGCCCAGGGGAGCTGGGCCATGTTCTTACCTCAGTGGGGCCTCTGCTAGATCTTGCTCTCCATTAGCACTACCTCTGTTTTTCCCATATGGCAGTAATTTGAAATCATTCCATATGAGCACTGCCTCTGTGAGGCAAGCTACTCATCTGTAGAGATCTCTGCATATTGAAGCAGATATTGAAGGTTTCCCTTGCCTGAAAGCCAGTTGAATCCGACTCTAGGGATGTGGTGCTCATCTCTGTTTCCAAGCTTAAGAGCCAGCGCTGTCCAAGGACCTTTTCGTGGTCATGTGGCTGGCATGACTACTACTACTACTAATAATAATAATACTTTCCATTTATTAATCGCTTTCCCCAGTGGGCTCAAAGCGATGTACAGTTACTCAGTATAGACAGGGGACTAACAATGTTTGTAGGGGATAGGGAAGACAACATATATTCATTTTTAATTGCACGCGCCGTCACTGCCCGGTATAGACGTCTTCTGGCTTGGCTCCGTCGTTTTCCGCA